GATCTGATGAGTTTCCGGGCTGCGGCGTGCCCCGGGGCGGGTGTCGCGCGCGCGCACGACGCGGGCACATACTGTTATGTCTTGATGAGTGTTGGGCCCCTGAGGTTTGATTGTGCTGGACAAAAGATCCGAATTCGGGGGGAGAGAGAGAGATTTGGGCCTCTCCGAGGCCTTCTCCGGCTGCCACTCGTCGCCGCGCGGCCGAGTTTGGAGCACTACATCCGGCGCCGGCCCCCGAAGACTCCGCGCCGCCGGCGGCACATGCCTTTTACTCCGGGTTGTTTTGGGAAGCAGTCCACCGCGCCGGCTTTCGAAGCCCCATGCCGGCGGCCGCGGATCATCTCCCAGCAGCGACAGTGACACTTCTTTATGATATCCCGGGTTCTTGGCCGCGGAGAATCCCCGGGAGCATCCCGCGCCGCCTAGGCGGGCTCCGCGGCGACGGCGGGCTCCTCGTCGGGCGGCGCGGCCGTCGTCGCCGACTTGCTCACGTCGACGGGCCCCGTGCCGACCTGGACCTCCGTCTGCGTGTACATCTGGCCGTCGAGCACGACGGTGTAGACCGTCGTCGCCGTCTCGACGCCGCTCGCGTCCGTCGACCGCCTGCGAAAAGGACGCGTCGACCGCTCCGCGCCGAATTTGTTTCGGGCGCCGCCTGACGCGCTTCGCCTTCCAGCCCGCGCCCAAGGGCAGGTTCAGCGGAGGCTGAATTGGCTTCTTGCGGGCGGGCGGCGCGCCGCTGTCGTCCTTCTTCGACGACGACGTCTTCACGCCGTTCACGTCTTTGACGGAGAGGAGCGTCCGCGATCCGTCTGAGTGCGTGATCACGTACTCGAAGTAGGTCGTCACGTCCGGCGGGAAATCCTCGCCCGTCGTGACCTGCTTAGCTGTCGCAGTCCTACGGGCCAACTCTGTTATCGATGTGGTTTGGGAGAACAATGGACCTACCAGCTGTCCTCTGGAGCGATGCCTTCGGGATGCGGGATCTCGATGCCCATGCGGCGAGCGTTTACCGCGTGCTCGTCGGCGTCGCGTGCGCCTTCGAGATGTTCGTCGTGCGACTCGCCGTGTCGAGGGCTCGCGCAAAACCGGCGCAGAAGGTGCGCGATTGCAAAAACCTTTTGTGGGCCAGTGTGGCGAAAAAATTGGCGACGACAACACCAGCTGCGCCGCGACTCGTATTATGACTTCGCCAGGGCGATGGCCATGTAGAGGGCCTGGGCGGCGCCCCCCGCGTCGTTGGGCGCGACGACGACGTCCGCCGCGTCCGCCGCGGCCGCGCCCGCGTTGCCGACGGCGACGCCGAGCGCGGCGCGCCGCAGCATGTCCGCGTCGTTCTCGCCGTCGCCGACGGCGAGCAGGTCCGCGCCCTCGTCGAGGCCGAAGTGGTCGAGGTACGCGCGGACGCCCTCGCGCTTCGAGCCCCCGAAGGGCAGGACCTCGAGCATCGTGGGCAAAGCGACCGTCGTCGCGGCCCGGCCCTCGAGGAGCTTTTCGAGCGCGGGCCGCGCGGCCGCGAGCACGTCGGCGTCCGCGAGCAAGAGCAGCTTGTTCGCGCCCGCGGCGGCGTCCGCCACGGCGTCGACGACGCGCGGCCGCGGCTCGTGGTAGACGTCCGCGAGCTCGTCGGTTCTCCGAGTGGCCGCGAGCGTCCGGAGGTCGTCGCGCGCGTAGGCGACGACGTCCAGTCCCAGCCCGTCCGCGAAGCCGACGGCGTCCGCGACGACGTCGCCCGCGAGCAGCCGCTCGTGGACGACGGCGCCGCCGTCGTCGTAGACCACCAACCCGTTGACGAAGACGCCGCCGGGAAGCGCCTCGGCGACGGCGGCCGGCAGCGCCGCGAGCGCGCCCGCGCGGCACTTCCCCGTCGCGAGGAAGAAGCGGAGGCCCGGGTGCGCCGCGCAGGCGGCGATGGCCGCCGCGTTGTCGGCGTGGAGGACCGACGCCGAGTCGAGCAGCGTGCCGTCGACGTCGGACGCGACCGCGCGAATCCGCGCCGA